ACCTTCTCCTTCTCCTCTTCCTCCTCCTTCTTCTCCTTTTCCTTTTCTTTCTCCTTCTCCCTCTCCCTCTCCTTCCCCCTCCCCAACAGTACTAAAAATATAAATACAATGGCGCACTTAGCTTAGCTTCTGATGTTATATCACATAGATGATAATATTAACCTCGTGATTCTATACCGCTGACCAATCAAAGCGTGTCGAACGTGTTGCCAATAGAAGACATTAGAATAGATGGGTTTTTCATGCTGATTAGAGTTGATTTTATCGTAAGGACGTGCGCGCAAGCTTAATTAACGAACAGATCAACCTCATAAAGTGTTACTGAGTTGAGGAACGTACGATACGCTTGTAATGCCGTCAGAGGAATTCCATGCTATATATTTGCTGAGAACAATGTAAAAACTCTTGAGAATTCGTGAGTTTAAACTTGCAGCCTTTGTTCAATGGCTTCAATCAGTACGATCCAATAAAATTGACCAATAAGATCCATGCAAGTAATTCTCTAGATTCACCAAGGCCGCCAAACATCTTTCTTAGTCGACTTAGATTCGCTACTCTCCGATTCATTCATTGGCTGTTGTTTTCCATCGATTTGATTGGCTGAAAGCTGGATCGGCGATGGCGGGTCTGACGACGCGAGTGGTGATTCCAAATATGGTGGGATACTCCATCCATTGTACAATGGATGGGTCGCGCTAGGGAAGACGAGGTATTCGCCGTCCATTCGGGGATAACAGTAAGGTACAAACAATGGGGGTGCTGGCATACGATGATATAGTGCTGAATCATTTTTATATTCCCTCGATAACCTTTCCGCTCGGATTCCATTGTTGACAGCTGCTGGAGAAAAATAAATGAAGAGTTGCTGTAATTATAACTACTATCATGTTTGGAGCAAGAAATGTGTAAAACATAGATATCGCTTTCAAAAGAAATCAAAATTTTAGAATGTTTTGCTTTGATAACTTTTATCGCGGCAAGGCATTGCACTGAAATGGCTTCCAAGCTCGTTACTTTTAAATGGCTTCCAAACGCTTGACGTTCCAAGTTCTTACATTGCGATTGGATTAATTCTTTCAAACTGACACTTTGACAGAAGGTATTTTTAAACATCCATGCATAACAAACTAATATTGAAATAAGAAGAGATAACTAGCTAAAAACTAGTGTGAGCTGCGTCGGTGTTTCTAATGAAACCGGACGAAGGACTAGCGTCCGAAACTTTAGTAAGTTTTTTCATCTTTTCACGGTGTATAATTTACCTTTTTATGATTAATATTGAAATATTGATCGATCAAGCTAATGCATAGCATTTATTATTTGCCGACTGTCACGATTTAAAATCGGTCACAAATGTACTTTGAATCCACTTTGAACGCGCATGCGTACTTACGATACTCCTTCCAAACTCATCAGTAGCGTAGCGAGGGGGGGGCACGTGAAAATTTTTGAAAAAAAAAAATTAGAAAAAAGAATAACAAAAAAACAAAAAAAAAACAAAACATATTAAACCGAAACGAAAGAGGAAAATAAATTATTACAACCTACAAAAGTGCGAATTTATACGAAGTTATCCGGACGGGCTACCTGTGCACTGCGAACCCGGTCAGAGCCTGGGATCTGCACGTGGGAATTTGAAATTTTTTCTTATTTTGGATCAGTGCCCCCCAGCTCCTAGGTCCTCGCTACGCCCCTGAAACTCATAGTGATCTATTCAAGAGCTCATCTGTTAATGCTAGTTCTTAGGAATATTTTTAATCATTGATAAAAAAATAACCGGAGACCATACTCCCAGACCCGAATGCTGAAGCGTTGTATGGTAGCGCAAAGCATTTACGGCTACGCCAGAGATTTCGATCCCGACACTGCTATCCCGGGAGGAATTACAGCCTGATCAGGAAGCTCGGCAGAAGCCTAAGGGAGAGGTTAGTCGGCCCCTAGACCGTATATGATCAACCCCTTGCTATGACCAGCAAACCTGACATTTCGGTACTGACGCTAAACACTTACACACAATTTTACTTCTTTCCATGTGGGATGCGTTTCGAAAAATATAGCTGCGACGTTTTACGCGCAGACTCTGTACATAATTTTAAAATACATAAAAAGAAATAAGAATAAGCCTGAAGCGAGATGACGTTTTACCCCCGTCTCTAGACCATAATCCTTTTCACATTGCTTTTATTCTTTAATTATGACTATTGTTCCTGTATTCTCTAAGGAATCAAAAATTTTAATATGAAAGAATTTTAAAAACTATTATGGTATAGAGTCGGGGGTAAAACGTCATCTTGCTTCAGGCTTATTGAGGTCTTATTTTGTTACTCATTGATGACACTTTAACGATAGGCATTTAAAAATTTACGTCCATTATCATTGTGCTTAAATGGCTTCCAAACGTAAAACACTGAAATGGGTTCCAGGTATTAACCTTGTTATTGGATAAAGTAAATTCTGTCGCTTGTTGGTTGATTGCGTAAGTCATTTTAGTCATAGCTAAATCCTATTCGGTTAATAAATGGAATAAGAATAGAGCGCGCGCGGAATTCAAAGATCAAGTATAACGTATCAGAAGTTAAACTTAAGATCAAGCGATTCGGCATGGAAAGTTCGTCTGGACTTGTGCAATACAGTGCTTTCTAGTATTTCTCCCAATCTTTACGAGCGCAAAATAGTTTGTTAACGTTCACTTGATGGACTTAAGTCAAGTCCAAGAATCTACTATTGCGCATCCACAGGCAATATTAACAACAAAACGAAGAACGTAAAAAAGAAAACACTGAATGGATAAAATAAATAAGACGATTTATACCTTGTTTATTGTCCTGAAGGAATTCAACGGTCAAATCCAAGACATCAGCTTTGTCCATTCGTTCGGAAGCCTTTTCTTCGTACGTCTGAGGATGCTAAAGAAAATATTCTATTATTAAAGGCGGGACAACACGTTGCAACATTAGTTGCGCGCAATATTGCTGACGTAGAATCGTTTTCTTCTTCAAATTTCTTCTATATAAAACTACTTCAGAAAGGTTTTTATTTCGTTTAACTTACATCATGATGGAGAGAAGAAAGAATAAGATGTTTTAACTCATTCAGACTGTTGTTTATTCTTGCTCTTCGATGTCTTTCCAGTAAATGTTTATGACTTGTCTTAGATACCTAATAGAAAGGAACAAAAGTAAGAGTATTCGGCTTGAATTATCGATGAAAATTGGTTTATAAGCTGTCTTATATGCCTAGTAGGGAGGAAAGAAAATGGGGTATATTTTGTATGGAGTATTCGGCTAAAATGAGAAGTTTTGTTCAGATGAATCGATTCTAGTGATTACTTTAAACTATGCTTCGCGCAACGTTAGAAGTTAATTAAGCCACGGTTTGATTTAGCGAAAACACGAGCGATGCGTTTCATTTTAGTTTAGAACAGTTAGAAGGGATGCTGTTTCAAGCTTCTCAAGAGCAAGCATTTGAGTGTCATTGACTCAAATCTTTTGCCGTTTTCTCGTCAAAAAAATTCTATCCTCCACGCTTAACTTAATTATCAAACAGAAGAGATAACTAGCTAAAAACTAGTGTGAGCTGCGTCGGTGTTTCTATTGAAACAGTAATGATAAAAAGGTAAATTTTACATCATGAAAAGATGAAAAAACTTACTGTCGTTTCGGACGCTAGTCCTTCGTCTAGTAAAAGAGTAAGAGAAATTACCAAACAGATGTTTCAAATTCAACGCAGATTATTCACACCACATATTCGGTTTATAACATTGCGCACAAGTCTTGCGATATATTTTTTTACGTAAGAACACGAGCAACGGCACGCAGCAACTGCGTCCGCTTAGTAAAGAACCATCTTTGTGTATAAATTATTTAAAAAACGTCAAGACGTCAAGAATTTGCAAAACAAATTCTTACCTTCGTCCCAGTAAATGATTTGGTGAATTGATCTGCCATAGCTCACGCAGAAGGACTAATTTCAAACAGTAAAGCCAGAGAAAAACTCCGCAAACGATTGAATATGCATAGTAAAAGATGACATCCTGCTAACGTTACAGATTCTTTTTATTCCGAGTGTGTTTAGCCAATCGCAAAGAGAGGTATATTTAGAATAGAACACGAAAGACAAAGAATCCACCACGCGAGTGCAATTCGTTAATCAAACTAGTATTTCTTGCATTGTTCGTTGGCATCGATTGCGTTGGCACCGACAAAGGCTTACGATGACATCATGAGACGCGGTGAGCAAGCACGTGGTCCAAATGACGATTTCCGCTTTGAGGTTTTTTGTGACTAAAATTCAAAATATGAATAAAATGTCAGACGAAATTTCAGCTATTAAAGAAAAAAAGCTGGATATTTTGTTGTGTTAGAGCGCATTTAAATGTAATTTTCTTCCCTTTCTTTCACAACAAGATCTCGTTTTAAATATTATTTTCCTTCCTGTTCATGAATTTTAATAGTGACACTGTCAAAGACCGAAAGATCTGTGTAAACTAATTCTATATACGGCAACTATTCTTGCCAACAACACATCCAATTGAATGTCACGTACCAACATGGCGGCCCTTTTTCAGCGCAGTGTTTTGCCCTTGAAATGAATGTTCTGTTCAGTTTACGAGACCTGTGTGATTTTGGAGTCCAAAACCTGTTGGTTTTAGGTTAACTCTCATTCGGCGTAAGGGCGGATCGGTTTTTAATATATTCCTCCTACATCACTTGCATTACCAGCATTGTTGAACGATTTTTTCGCTCGATTAATCTGCTGAATAAAAAATGACATTGTGAAGTAAAAATATATGATTATTTTTAAGATCATAAAATCTTCATTTATTCGAATACGAATGAGGAAAGACTAGGAATGTTGATATAAAATAGTCCAAAAAAAAATAATTATCAAAGACTGTTGTTTCAGTATCGGGTAGTATGCAATCCACTGCATTTGTTTTTAGTGTTTTGCGTCGTGGTTCTTGGAACAAGAGATGTCTTGGTATCATACAAGACCAGAAGAGATTACCTTTTGTTTGGTAATTGAATGACAGGTAGCAAGCAGTGTTGTTTGAATTAATGCAAAGATGAGCGTTTTGTTACTTACTCGGCTGGAACGAGCATTTTTGCAATAGTGCAAAAATGCCTGTTCAACCCAACGTTTCTAGCATCTCTATTTTATCGATCTTTCCTAGGATTATAAGATATATAAGTTAGTCTTTTGTTTTTTACTTCATTTTTAAACTTAAAGGTTCTCAGTTAGATTCCTCAAACTGAGAAAGTTCTGAAGCCGGCATTCAGCAGTTTCGCGCGCTTTTTAGACCCGCGCGCGCGTACAAAGCATTAGACTATCTTTCGCAGCAGTGAAATGCGTAAACGACTTTTTTCTCTAAAAGACTTCAACTCCAGTGTTCTATTGGAAGTAACTTTAAAAGACTGAAAAAAACATGAACGAATCGATCCCGAAGATTTTTCGGGCGATTTCTCAAAGGCAAGTTTCAAAGCAATATAAGCGTCACACGAAACAAACAAAAGCTTGGATAAAAATACCAGAAAGAAATGCTGGCATTATGCTTTACAACACGTGTTGGTAATTATGAATGCTGAAGCAAGCTAATCACCATTGAACAAAGGCACTTGACTCAATGCCTAACATGCAACTAAATTCCTTTCATTGGTTGGCTTCTGTTGATCTATAGATGATGACTAGTAAACACTAGCGTGGAATGCGTCGGTGTTTCTAATGAAACAGTTATCGTAGAATGATAAGTTATACACCGTAGTGAAAATAGTAACTGACGTTTCGGACGTTAGTCCTTCGTCGGAGTCAATAGAAAGTAAGAGTAAAAGATGTTCACGCTGTAACATGTTCTATGTTGGAGAAACTGGCCGCCGATTAGGTGATCGTTTAAGGCACCACCTTTACGACATTCGCAAGAAAGATTTATCTAAACCAGTTGCTCGGCACTTTAACTCTGCTAATCACTCTGAGCTTAATGCTATTGTTTTTGGTCTGTGTTTAACCCACTGCAGCAACAATCATCGTAAAACAAAAGAAATGCGCTTAATTCATTCACTTGGCACCGTTAATCCCCACGGGATGAACGAACGCTTCGCTTATAACTAAGTTATTTCCCACCTATTGTTGTTTTCGATCCTTTTGTTTTCCTTTGTTAAATGGCTTGCTTTTTTCTTATTGGTTTGTTTTCTCTCTCCTCTACTATATAAACATCTCTTTTACTCTTACTTTCTATTGACTCCGACGAAGGACTAACGTCCGAAACGTCAGTTACTATTTTCTGTTGATCTATGCTGTTCTTTGTATTAGCATGCCTATAAATGCGGATTGCATGAATGCAGATTTATATGCACACAAGATGACTGACACAACTCTGAAAGACGATGTTCCTAAGGTTGGTAATCGTTCGTTTAATTCATCAGAATTTAAAATCTTGTCAGTGTAGCTCCAGCGATCATAACTAATGCATTCAAATATTTCTCTGTTTTAGGCTGGAAAGTACAACAAGCCATTACTTGAACGCCAAAGACGAGCAAGAATCAATAAAAGCCTAGAACAGATTAAGGAACTCATTCTCTCCAGCTTATACCAAGACGTAAGTATATAATACAAGAAAAATTCCCCCAATTTGGGCTTGTTCAGCTGGTCTCGATGTTCAAGCATTTTTTAAGCTTAAAATAAGTAGAGCTTTGAAAAAAAGTTGGTTTTCAAGAATTATTAGTGCGCGCGCGAGAGAGATCTTGTTTCGCAATTGATCAATCTTTCTAATGCTGTTTCAGGATCCCAAGACGTTTGCTGAAAAGAACAATGAACGGATGGACAAAGCAGAAATACTGGAATTCGCCGTGGATCATATCAAAGACCTGACATTTATGCGCTATGGTACGTATACGAAAATTACATTTGCATGAATATTCTGGAAAATCAGAAACGAACTTTAGGTCTGTTTGCGCTGTGCTCGGCGCTAATGCATCGAACTTTCGGCGCGAAAAAAAAAGCATAGATCCGTTGGTAGCATGACGTCACTGCGCGTCAAAAAGGTAATTTGTTTTCTTTCGTTTCCTAGCAACAAATGGACATTGTTATATTAGAAAATCATTGCAAATGATTCAAGTGTAACTTAGATGTATGTGGATCAAAATTGGAACGAATTTATAGCTAAAACTCAAGCAATTTCTAATAGAATCGTCACAATTTTCGTATTAATTCTAGTGTAGTTTTTACATTTTTTCTGAGTAAATGCGAACTCTTAGTGTCATAACTTTGTTTCTTTAATTGCGCGCCAAAACCGACATTTTTTCTCTCATGACATTAATATTAAAAAAATCTTTGATTTTTTCCCCCTTCAGCTTCGAGAACGACTAAAAGAACGAGCAGTCCTCCAACACTACACGACCAAATGATCGAGCCACGCTTACAGTACCTAAACTATTCATCACCTACACCAGCTATGCCTCATACAAATTATCTTGCATCGAAACGCCCGAGACTCGAACCCCAGCCCTGGATGAACCTAATTCGATGCACAGATCGCTGTTGTGTTCAATACTACGGGAATATTAGCCCGATCCCTTCGCCAACGCTTTCTACGGATCATGGTGATGTTGATGAAAAGATTAATGAGCAAACTAAAGTCAAGGAATCGTTAGATTACAGTAACAGCGTTTGGAGACCTTGGTAGATTTTTGTTACTTCGATTAGTAGTTAATTTATTTAATCAAGCAGTTGGTTTAGAATTTTTTACAGTGTTGGAAAACACTATATCTATGCGAAAATTTGTACATAAAACTAAAATAGGTTTACAGTGACAAATTTCACGAGTTCTTTTTTCTTTGTTTTTGAAGCAGTGAGGGCAGCCCTTACAAGCTGATGATGAATAATTTTAAAAAGGCAAACAAAAATTTGATGTCAAATTACAAAAACTAGTATACTTAATATTGTAATCTGCTGGTCAGACGTTGTCATTGAAATACAAATAAAGTAAACAAAGTTGTCAAAAGATATAGTTCAATACAAGGCGAAGGTTTATAATTTTCCGCGCAAAATGACGGATTTTCCATTTCTTCTGATTTATTAATTACCGAAATCGTTACGTATCGCAAAATTCACTTTTGGAAGAACTAACTCGCAGATTGCATTGAAATCTTAGCGTGGTAGGTTGTTTTGTGTGGGGAGGAAAACCGGAGAAAAACGTTGAAACTTTTGGCCGAAACTTGAGTGCCATGGCGTTGCGAGACAAGTTTCACGAGGGTGTTACACGGCGCAATTTAGGCTTTGTGAAACTTTCGTCGCGAGAAAGTTTCACGAAAAGTAGAACTGCTTTCCACTTGTACAACAGAAACTCGCGAACAAGTTTCAGGACGCAATTGCGCCTTATAACACCCCTGCAGTTGTTGCACACGTTTCAGCTAAACGTTTCAACGTGTGACACTAGGGCCTCATTTAACACACTACTCACATGTAATGCCAAGCATCTAGAGGAAAGGCGAGTGCAATACCGCCACACCGCTGAACTCTTACGAGCCACACAAGAACTACTTTCACTACAAATATATCAATATTTCTAGAGTGATTTAATGCTGTTAACAGGGAAGAATGTTTATCCCTCTACAAGGTTAATGTGGGTAAGTTCTTTTATAAGATTGTTTAAAAGATCGTCTTTAAAGATCAGTGTTTATATAACAATTTTTTTCTGTCGAGAGAGTTGAGATTTTAAGTTTTGTGCCAACCATCCTTCAGTGAAAAAGGCTGGTGTTGCGCATTGCGCACCTTTTCGCTTGTCTAACGCTGAACTCCTGTCTTTCGGAACCATATTAATTCATATACCTTACAAGCGGTATTCGATTTATGGGGGGAGGGGTGTTTTCTTTTGTGTCTATTTGACCATTACACGTTGACTAGTATTTTTCGTTTCAAGGGTTAAATCAAAGGTTTCCATCCTTTGTTTTTGTATACTGGGCTTCCTGTGTTGCGAACTAAAGCAATATAAGTAAATATCATTAGAGTTCGAAAATCGCCCCTGAGAATATCTCTTAACTTCAAATCTTGAAAATAAATGTTCGAAAATAAATGGTAGATAGTTGTTGAAGCTTTTTGAGTGGTTTTTGAGACGATTTTGGGTGTTTTTAGATTGCTTTAGTTCGCAACACAGGAAGCCCAAGATACAAAAACAGGATGGGAAACCTGTGGTTAAATGCCTTCACTCTAATTCACAAATTAACAAAATTACTTGCAGAATGGAAAACGCAAGACATTTTATTAATCATTACATGATTGAATTACTGGGCCGGTCTGATTACTAAAAAGATGGCGAGCACGAGGAAAAGTCAATCTAATAGAACGGAAAAACAACTTTGTTGGTAAATCTTATTTGCGACTAATTCTAAAGGGTGTCCTGAAACAAGATCATCCGTCAAGGCTTTGAAGGCCGTATATCAGTAGGGGCTTAACAACCCAATGTTTAAGTTACGACTGGTCGACGATCGTCTTCCGAACATTCGCCGACCATTCACCGGTCTTTCAGATCACCCTTTTCAATATCAACCATTAAACGTTGCCGAAGATTTTAATAAAATAATTTAGATCTTAAATTACGGTATCATAATATAACTTCATTTTGTTTATTCCTTTTTAATGTACCCTTCGGTCTGTAAATTAGTAGGACACCCGCCCAAGATATAAAAAAGATCCTGACTTGGCTCTCCCAGTGATCCTTGGTAACCATGCTTTAGACCATGCGAGAGAGCCTGGGGATGAGTATTCATAACTCTTTCTTCTTAAACGGAAATATTGTCTCTCGGTCGRGAATAAAGCAATGGAGACCATGTCAAAATAGAAGAGCGAAAGAAGTATTTATGCCAACCCAACCTGACACGCCGCAGGTGTCGTGAGCCTGCAGCGCAGTCTGCTTTGCGGATTATTCCATTAGGCTATACGTGCAAGACTCGAAGACGACTGATAACGAGTTAGACCCCACCCTATTCCGTTCTGATTCTAAACCAATCTCGTTCAGGCTAGAAAAACTAATATTACATTTCTATAGTTACTCTTTTCATAACAAAAATAAACCAGCCGTTCTCTTCAACGATTCGTTCTTATAAAATTAAATTTTCTTCTCGTTGAATAATGTTAACAGTCGGCTTTCGTTTTTGTCGACTATTTGGTTTTTCTTTCTCAAATTTTAGTTCTATAAAGGAAAGCATCATAATGAATTCAAACGTATAAATTGGAAATATTGCGCTAGAGAATTTGATAAAGAGAATGAATGGCGTCATATAGGCAGCATGAGGGCACTTCATCTCGATTAAACACTGTGTAGGGTGAATACAGCAAGAGTATTAAATGAGGTTTGGATCAATAAGGAAGTCAACGGTAACTGAACTTGTGAAGAGTATTGGGATTATGGTATTGATGTTAAAATGCTTTTTAAGTTGGAATATCTTCCTCTTGATTGACCAGGACAGAAAAGGCGGGAAAGTCCTGAGATTTTAGAATTTGCAGTGCAACTTATTTTGAGGAAGTACAACACAACTACGGGCAGAAATGCAACAGGTGGTTACTCCTCCAAGAAGTACCTACATCTACATAGCCTCATATATAACCGCAGATCATTTCACAATGAAGAGATTAATTACACCCAAAAAGGGCAAAATCCGCAATCGAGAATTAAAATATAATACAATGATACGACTATTTAAACAAGTCGATAACTCGAATACATGGGACAATGATCGCGTGCATGCTTTTCTGTGAAATTCCTTTGAAACTGTTTAATTGTAGCACCACTTTCATGCTGCCCTCGACGTCATCCCATGAACAAAGGGTAACTAAATAGTTACAATTATGACTAGAAATATGTAAATATTACCAAAAAATGTAATTGGACAAGGTCTCTTYTCCACACAGGCCAGGATTACATATGGGGTACCTGTTGCTTCTGCACGGTAGGAGTCGATGCGAAAGGCTGATTATTCTTAGTGGTCACAGGTACAAATTGAGCAGGTCCGCTCGACGGCCATGTGGCCCCTTCGGATGCTGTCCACGCCTGATTATCCGCAGACCATTGTTGTTCAATAGACGCTTTCCATTGACTAAGTTCCTGCTGAGTGCCTCCCCAAGAAGCCAAATTAGTGGGAAAGTTCGTTGTTTTTCCATTGGTTGCGGGGAGCATATTTGACGAGGCCTGTGGTGTTTGAATGGGCATTTGGGATAGATTTGGAAAGCTGGTATTACGACTAACGGGAAAAGATCCTGTAGCTTTCTGCTGTGTTTGAGATTGAGGCGGAGGCGTGGGACCTTTGCGTATTTGCCCAAYCGAAGTGGTAGATTTGGAAACCATATCTCTTTGCAGTTGACTYTTTTTTATTTGGTTTAGACTCATTTTAGTTTCCGTCTTCGAAGTGACGCTTACGACAACTTTCTTTTCTGWCGATGTCTTCATCTTTGCTCCGCTTTCAAAAAGATTAAGTTGTTTGATTTCGAAAAGATTAAGTTGTTCGATTTCTTTATCGGTGGTTAACGTTTTCTTCGACTGAGGAAAGTCGAGGGGGCACCCATTGGCTTTGAAAACTTCTATCGGTTCGTCGGCAACMCGTTGCCTTGGAAACGAACGAGATCTTTGTTGCTGCTCTGGAGCTTGCGATGCGGGAGCCTTTGTTTTGGGATTTCTAGTTTCGATTTTTTTCCTGAGAGACATGAGCTCYTTCTCTTGCTTTCGATCCATTTCTTCTCTTTCTTTTTGATACCTGCAATATTGTGGAAAGATTGGTGATG